CTTACGGTAGCAGAACCCTTCTCCTTAGGGAATTTTCACAAAGATAAAACTGTCACTAGGACTCCGTGGCTTAACAGCTTGCAAAGGATTTCAAGCCTCCAGGTTTAGGACTTTGCCAAGTCAGACTCTCTGACTTTTGTCTTGATAATGGAGACAGAAACATGGCATTAAGAGGACTTTTGCTTCTTAGAAGGAAATCTGATATAAAATAATAGTTTGAAGGTTGTACTAAAAGTTGCAAGACTGTGTACTTAAGATGGTATTTACACAAAAAGATAAATGTCATTTCTTGTATTAAAAAGGTTCATCGACTTCACCCTTTCCTAAAATTTCTCTTACTATGTATATTATTTTAGGCAAATAGAAATGTAAAAGCTGCTGGGCTCATGATTTGAAGAACTAAGCTGTTTCTGCGTCTTCTCATGTAACCCTCAGTGATTCTGTCATTATGTCCATTCACAAGCATGGGAATTGGGTTAGAGAATTAAGCAGCTCTCCCATAATCACCAGGTGATGGAGCCCAGCTTAACTCAAGAGTGTCAGACTCCAAACCCACGCAGCCTCTAACTTGACTTCACTGGACTCCACGTCCATAAAATGCTGCTCCGATTTGTGCTGGTCGCGTTCTTTGAACAGATTACATCATTTATTTGTTCCTAACGAGCAGATATTAATAGTCCCTCACAGTAGCCATGAATAGAAAAATCAAAGAAGTTTTTGCTGGAAGATGATTTAGTGAGATCCGATTTCCTGATACAATAGACTAGAAACCTGAAGCTTAGATGTTAGCTGACAATAGATTTCTGTGATTAGAAGTTAACAAAGTTGTAGATTAAACATCAAAGTTCACTGATGCTAACCAAAACATTCTTACACCAGATACTAGATTTTTATTGCACTTGAAGAAAAAATGTATTTTAAAATGTATTGGTTGACAATTTTGTTGGATGTAGTGCCCTCTTGGCACATAAAATGAAGACCACCACCCCTTTAATTAAACAAGTGTAATTGGCATAGTTTTAAGATTGGAATCATGTATAACCTGTGATACAGTGATTTTTAAATGTCTCTCAATATGTGTCTATCTGCTGGGAACATACTATATCAGTAAAAATACTAGATGTTGATTTCTATGTCTTATGAAGATATATCTTACTATGTAAAATACTTTGTTTGGAAATCTATAGAAACATAATAAAGGTATAATATTACAGAAAGCAAAACATTAGATGAACACTAAAAATTGTGTACCAAAACAAATGAAGTACAGTTTTGTATCATCACATTTTGTATCATCACATTTCTTCAGGCAATATCTGACCATGTATATATCCCTGGTGCCAACTGTGGAATAGTTGAATAAAAATAGTTTGAATAAAAATCTATTTTATTCAAACTTGAGATACACACTAAAAGAAAAAAACTCCCAGCCATAGAATTGATTCTGACGCATAGTGGAATATAGAATATAAAGGTAAACTGTCTACTATGGGAAACATTTGAGCTTTTTCAACTGATGTACAAATTGGAATTAAAGACAGAATTAGGAATGGAATTTGTTCATAATCCAAGGTTGCCATGTGCAATACGATGCTTGCATGTCTAAATTACCGAAGGCCCTATTTCATAGACTATATCGTGGAGGTAAAGCGACACATGATTGTAAATGGAAAACATTTGGAAAATGTTTCTTAATAGAAGAAACCTTATGATTAAGTTAGAAAGTACAGAAGATAAGTTATTAAATGGGTAGTGTACTACTTGTTCCTATTTAAGAATTCAAGTGCCATTTACGTCTAAGAAAAATTTAGTTACACCCATTTCACATTTTGCTTCATAAATTAATCTTATACTTTGGTGTCTAACCTAATCTCACTTTCCTCCATTGTATAATTAATCTTTTTTTTTAACTTCGGTTTAGTTCAAAGGGAAGTAATGTTTAAAAGATGTGAAGCAAAAAAAAAAAAAAAGATGTGAAGCATTTAATCCTTGAATGCTGGAACCACTTTTAAAGTGTTACAAGCACATCTGCATTACATTAAACTGGAAAAGAATTTATGTGCTCTGTGTCCTATGGATATTCGGGTGGCTGGCTTAGGATAACTGAATATTTTGCATTTCAAGTTTCTTTTCACCATAAAAACCTCCTGCGATTATAAATGAATGACTTAATTCCAGGGGTGGGATGTTGGGCAGGCAAACATAAGTAAGTTGTCCTCGCGCTGCCTACTGTGTACTTCTTAAATAAGTAAGGCTTTATGGTGGACTTGACTTTGGGTTTTTTTAAACACCTCAGTATTCCCCCATTTTAAAAACTGTTGCGTAACACAAACTTAGAGCACCACAAGAAGAGTTCTCAGTGTCCTGCATGTCTTACTGAGCTCTGAGTTGTGCAAATAGTTTGTGATTGATTTCAAACAAAATTACAGCAGATTCCAGTGTGTCCTGATGAAAAGTTCCTTCTTGAGCACCTCCCTGGTGCTTTCTTGAGTGGGAGAGAGACAAGCGGGATTAGTGCCATCGTGTTGGAGAGGACCTTTAGTTTCACTCCAAGGGCCGTCATTGATCCTGCCTGCGCCCTGTGTTTGCTGTTTCCATTCTTCCCTCACTGACCCTCTGATCGTTGTTGTTGGGGAAACGCAGCCCAGTGGGGTCGGCACTTTACCACAGAGGTGAGTTCAGCTCTGGAAGTGAAGGACAACTAAGGATGAGCCTAGTTTGGGGGCCCCGCCAGCCTCTATCTGAACAGTAACACTGCTTTCTTTTATGATAATGGTTTTGTTCCACATTTTCTTCCACTCTATCCAGGACCTTTTCAGAGAAGTTGGTAATGGTCAATAGTGCCATCGAGTTCTTCTGGTTCTCAGGTCATAGAAACAGATGACTGTGTAGTCTTTTAGTCTGTTGGACTGTAATTCTTTCCATAAATCTTTTTATTTTCATTGCTCTTCTTCCCTGTGGACTAGAAGAGACCAATGGTTACCCTTAAATGACTGCTCATGAGCTTTTAAAAAAGATCCCCGTCACTTACCCCAATAGAACATCGTCTTTGGGAACTATGTTATGCTAATAGATCCTGGTGTTCCCCCAAGACTCTGGTTCTGATCCCCCAGACCTAGCGGCTCATTCTGTCGAGGTGTTTGGCTATGTCTAAAAACTTTTTCATAACTTTGGCTCCTGTATGCTCCACCACATTCAATGGATATATTTGCAGCAAAGGTAAAATCACATATACAAATAGTCTATCAAATCTCTGTATATATTTGTAAGTATATTCCCACTCCCTCACACACCTGTTTAGCCTACATGTTTTTATCTAAGCATTTACTTGTAGATCACCACTATTACAAGGTTGTGCATATAACAATATTTGCCTCTGTTGCTCCTAATCTTTGCAAGGGTCCTAATGTCTCACCCTGCCTCCATCGTTGTTTACCATCCTCCCTCTTGGGTGGGTGCATGGGTAGGTGGGCGCGCGCGCGCATGCGCGCGTGTGTGTGTGTGTGTACGTACTTGTTAGATATTATTGCTTCTCCTTCACCCAAGTTAACACCTGTCTATCCACTAGCCTGTATTTCCCCTCTTCCTCTGTAGGAATGGTCTCATAGCATATTTGTCCTGTTGTGATTGACTAATTTCACCTATCATAATGTTCTCCAGCTTCACCCATGTTATGAGGTGTTTCAGAGATATATCGTTATTCCTTACCATTGAATAGCATTCCATGATGCTATTCAGACCCAGCTTCATCCATTCCTGCACTGGTGGGCGTTTGGCCGTGTCCATCTTTTTGCTGTTTTGAATAGGGCTGTGTTGAACATGGAGTGCAAATTATCTATTTGTGCCTCGCTCTTAATTCTCTAGATTAGATAGCAAAAAGAGAGATTGCTGTCGTACAATATTCCTGTTCCCAACCAGAGTGGTTGTGCCATTTTAGAGTCCTACTAGCAGTGTCTTAACGTAGCTTTTATATGAACATCAGTCTGCATTCATTATTGATATGGAAAGTAGCCCTTTGTTCCAGAGCTTTCCTAGTGCACATCAGATATGACTTTTCTAGTTTTAGAACCTCAATAATAATTTTCCCACCTGGTTTTCTTAGACTATCAGACTTATTTTAAGGAAATAACCACTTAATTTAGTGTCATTAATTTTTTTGTCCCCTGCTTATATAAGGGATATTTGTATAGCTGATATATTTGTTTTTACTTATCAGTCTATTTAAATATTAATGGTGCTTATGTGTTTGTTTTACTGTTTTATTAATAAGTTATCACGAACTGGATCCTTCCAAGAGTCTCTTAGAAAACTTGAAGAACAAAGTGATTATGGAGTACCCAACATTGCATGTGGTATTAAAAGGGTCCAGTAGCAACATGAAAGTTCTTCACCAGAGTAAGTGTAAATTTGTTGTAATGTTGTAGAAAATTGTTATTGCAACCGAAGTACCATATATACTAGAATATAAGCCAACCCTAATATTTGCTGGGGCACGTAATTTTACCACAAAACTGCATTGAAAATGTGCTGAAAAACTTGGCTTATACACGAGTGTATACGGTAATTACTTAAGAGCCCTAATTTGTGGGGGGATGTTTTCCCTGTGCAGTCCCTGAGTTTTAGTCTGTACCTGTAATTAATACTATGAGGAACTAAGTAAATAAGCTGCTGTTTCTGTCCATTTGAGAGCTTGTACCTTATATTAATTGAAAATGAATGAATCAGATTGTTGCACCATAATAGGGTGTTCTTTACTACGTTTCTCGTGTTTGTCGTTTTCTTTCTTAAGCTAATAAATCTCTACGTAATAATCTTTGTGTTCAGAAAAATGCACTTCCTAGTTGGAACTCTTCTCAGCTTTCTCAGATTAGTGATTATGAGATGCTTCTGCTGTCTTAGTTTACCTAAAGCCATAAAGTTGCAAAAAAAACATGATATTTAAACCTTTGGCTGCACTGCTGTGACCCTTTATCATCTTTCTAATCTCATAGAATATCTACTTGTTTGTTTGTTTATATCTTGTTCACATTCCTTAGTATGTTAGTGAGTCTTTAGAATTAGGAGCCCTGGGGACGTACGACTTTACCTGTTGAGCTGCTAACAATTTGATTCCATCAGTGGCTCATGGAGAAAGTTCAGGTTATCTATACACGTGAAGATTGACAGTCTCAGAAACCCACAGAGGCCATTCTACTCTGCCTATAGGAAAGCTGTGAGTCAGTATAAGCTCAATGGCAGTGAGTGAGTGCTGGTTTCTTGTTGTGTGACCTTGGACGAGTTGGAAATCAATAGTATTTTTCCCTTTGGGGTAAGTAGTAGAGTTGTATCAAAGGTAATATTAGAAATGGATAAAATTTTTTATCCATTTTTTTTAAAATATGTGTAATGGTTTAGTGTATAATAAAATGACAACCCATATTTGTAGCTACTAACTAAAGTAGGTTAATTGTGTTTCTGAATATAAGAGGATAAATAAAATTCAGTAATTCTATTAAAAGGGGGAGAGCGGTTATACAACTTAAGACTCAAATCACTGGGTACTACTTCCAACTACAAATTGAGTCTAGACCAAGTGTCATTATTCCAAACTCCAGAGAACCATAGAATCCTTGAATTATATTGAACTCCATTAAAAAAAGAAGAATATTATTTTAAATATATAATTCCAGTTTCATAGTTACCTGAACATTATAGGCCATATACTACCCGTAGCTGATGTTGCAAAATTTTCTCTGTACATGTCTATAGCTCTTTTTCCTTAACAAAAGATTTACCCCCCTAGAGTGTCCAAAATGCTTGTCCAGGCCACAATTTGAAACTAGATTTAATAGAAATGACATACCTAAAAAAGGAGGCTGACACCAAGAGCTCAATAGACAATAAATGTCTTGAAAATAATGATGGCAAGATCTGTACAAATACGCTTGATATAATTGATGTATGAATTGTTAGAAGAGCTATAAGAGCCCTCAATAAAATGTTTTTTAAAATTAATTAAAATAGGACATGCCTAGTAATAAATTGTGACTCTCTAAATGTTGTATTTTTTCTTAGAGAGGTGTGTGTGTGTGTAATTTTAAAATATTCAACTGTATCTTCTCAAAGTACATTAGAAATTTCTGTTTTAAATAGCTCGTGTTGCATTTTAAAAGCTGTTTAAAACCCTCCTTCATAGAACTCACATAGCTCTCTTTCTCCATGTTGGTCTCAGGGAAGTGTGTTTAGTACTGTGGTTGGTAGCCAGGGCAAACACTGTCTGTATAAATAAACACAGCACACACAGCGCCTCTGTCACCTTGTGTTGCAGTGTGCCTTGTAGGGAGACTTCCTGTCATGAAGCAAAAAGAAAAGACTGTGTCGTAGTGTCCATGCAACCCAAGGAAGTCCCACGGAGCACTTTCTGGTCCACAGCATTTGCTGCTTAACTTACCTCCAGGAAAAACAGACGACATGGGCATTCAGGGCAGAGCCATGTCAGTAGAGGGACCATACCAGTGTTGCCTCACCCTGAGGACACATCTTAACTATAACTCAAGGTTGTACCATACACGCATATCTTAATGTAAGTGCTTTACAAAATGCCATGTTCCATTGGTGGCCCCTTGATGAGGGAAGGAAGTAAATAAGAACAGGGCTTTTTATTTTATTCCTTTCCCTCCCAAGAGACAAAAACTTGAGTTATGAAAATACTTCTAGTTTTCGGGAAAATGCAGATTCTGAGCTAGGATTCAGAGTAGTCTTCACCCATGGTGGTGGTTATAATGTTTATCTTGATTATAGATTGCCGTAATTTCTTTGAGAGTCAACCTGCACTGGTGGTCAGTAGACCCGTTTTTGTTTAATGTTTGCACTGTAAAATATGTGTGGTCCCTACACGGTTAAGCAGTCAAGGCCGCACTCTGTAGAAGAGAAGCAGGGTGCTGCCTGTTACCCCAACTTGTTTCAATAGTCAAATGCTCAGAATGGGCTTAATTGGTGTAGAAACTCTTGTTCGACAAAGTTAGAATCACATGTTTAACTTACTTGATAAAAAGCATACTAGAATTCAGTCCTAGAGAAAAGAATGGCGCCTTATTGGATGATGAAACTTAACCATCTCAGTAGGTGTATAAATAGAAATATAATGCCCAAAACTGCCAGAATATTAAAAAACAAAAACAAAACTCACTGCCATCTGACTTATAACCCTGGTGGTGTAGTGGTTAAATTAAGTATTGGGGTGGTAACCACAAGGTTAGTAGTTCAAAACGAGCACACTGCAGGAGAAAGAGGAAGCTTTTTACTACTCAACAAAGCTAGTCTCAGAAACCCACAGGGGCAGCCCTACCCTGAAAATAGTATAAAGCTCCATTATTTTAAAACATCAGCAGAATGTATTTCTCAAGGATGCCTGGTGGCACAGCGATTCAGCCCTCAGCTGTTAATAGAAAGGTCCACCGTTGAAACCCACCAACTGCTGCACAGGAGAACGATGTCGCACTCTGCTTCCATACGTAGTACGGCCTTGGAAGCACCGTGAGACATTCGGCTCTGTCGTATTGGAGCACACAACATCATCTTATGGAGCTGAAATTAGAACATTGGCTATAATGAGAAGGCATTACATATAAAATTATTTGAATTAATGAAAGCACCTGGCATAGCAGATAACTCTGTTCAACTCTTGAGTTTCTTGTTGGCCAGTAAATCCTTTCTTCTCTCTCTCTCACTCTCTCTTTCTCTGTCTTTGTTGTGACAAGGTGGGGGAAGGTGAAGGGTGGGTTTTAGGGCCAAGAGCACACATGTAAATGAGCTTGATGTCATCATAGAGGTTGCATAAAACGCTGAAGAAGCCAGAGGAGAAAACAACTAGCTGTAATATGGAGGTGGCCGGAAGTACTTGGTTGCGAGGAGAGGCACTGGAGCTTGGGTGGAACCTTTTCCATGCCTTGGTGACTCACTGAGCTGTAGTTAGCTGCCCTTGAGTTGGCCTCTCACTTGCGGCAGCCACAGCACATGGTGAAACAAGACAGGGCTGTCTACCCGCTGGTGTGATTATTGTACTCAAATCCAGGCACCATCCACAAATCCCAAGAAACTTGGCCGCTGGAATAGGAGGCAAAGGTCCAGATTTGTTCTTTGTACCTTAGTTCTTATTCGCTGTGGGCCCAGCGCATTCACCTTCTCTCTAAGCTCCATTTTTCTTATCTGTACAAAGGCGATACTCAGCTGTGAGTCCCAAGTAAAATATCTATATTCTTAATTTTGTAATTTTCACATTTAAGGAAACAAAGATACATTATTTCCTTGTGACTGCATACTAAAATAAGCCCACTTGCCAGCAAGTGGGTTTTGACTCACGGCAAACCTTTGTTTGTCATAGTAGAACTGTGCTCCATAGGGGTTTCCGTGACGGATCGTTGCAGAAGTAGATTGCCAGCCCTTTCTGCCCAAGTCCCTCTGGGGACACCTTTTGGTTAACAGCTAAGTGTTAACTGCACCACCCAGTGGGTCTAGCTTCATTATACAGCAGATTATTAGAGCTGGTTCCCATTTTGCAGATAAATAGTAAAATTAGAATAGAAACAATGATTTGCAAATACTAATTGGATGCTTCTTCCTTGCTGTGCTGCAGGGTAGAATGATGTCTCTCCTTCAGGAGAACTCAAGTTCATGAGTTAATTTGATGGCTCATTGTAAGTAAGGCAGGAGCTTTCAGATGGAAGAAAGGAGCTGACATTAGTCTTCTGTCAGCCCACATGTACTCTGTACACATGTACTGACCCCCAACTTCAAGTTAAAAAAAATGAAATCATGGAAAAATGTATTCCAATTCCCGCCAGCGGTGCTGCATGATCATAATGATCTATTCAGTGCTGCAAATGTGGGACCCTCGCCACACCACGCAGGGCCGTTCCATTCCCGAGCCTTCCACAGCCAGGAAGGATGTTACCTCACAACACATAATCACCACTTTCAGATGGCGTTTCCCTATTTATCGTGGGCAGGATTGTATATCCTGGCTTCCTGGGGACATGACATGGCGTGTCAGCCCCTGGGAACAGTGCCGCGGCTGTGCATCAGGAGGGAGGGGACCAGGGGAAACAGAGCAGGCTAAACAGAAACACGGTAAACACTTGACTGTATGTTTCCTTCTTCTTTTCCAGTGGAAAGGGAATCCACCAGAAGGGTCGGCAGCGAGAACTGAGCCTTCTTCCGGAAGAAGGCGAGCCTTCTCAGAGACCTTCAGAGGACTGCCCACTGGCCGGCTGCTGGAAGAGGGGGATTATCGGGGGGTGGGTGGCAGTTTTTGCTGGTCTGAAAGTAATTAAACAACCTGGAAGGAAAAAGAAAAGGTTTTAAGATATATTTTGTAACCTCTTGAGTTTACGTATAACAACCCTTTTTTGCACCTGATCAGTTGAGGACTCATTAGAGCCTAGCTTTTAATATACTTAATTTAATAGACTGGAAGCTTTTTTATTTTTTAGTTTGGTGCAGAATCCTCTGTTGGCTGCAAAGTTGGGCGGTCTCTTTAGTGGGATCTCACTAAACGGGACAGCCATGTGGCACCCTGTTAGGCTGCAGGACAACTGACCGTCACCGGCTGTCCATTCTCACCCTTGAGGTTTCTATGTAACTTTTCTCCTGAGACAGCTGATGGGTCATGTTAGCACCCAGTACGAATGTCTTTATAAAGACTCCATATTGTTAACAATGACTTCTTACATTCGACTAAGAAAACTACTGGCTGCGCACTACGTTATGAACCATCAGTGCTACTGAATGTGTGCTCTTGTTCACAAAGTGAACTGCTTCTTGCTGTGAATTCTCTGCTTTACTTCCTCTTGACAGCCACACAGGGGTGTTGCAATGGCTAGTTTTATGCTGTTTGCAATGGCTAGCAAAAACTATAATGAAGAAACCCTTTGGAACGCTTCGATTTGTTATTCAAATGTATATGTGTGTATTTATGTGTCTTCATGGTTTAATTTATACCTTATGGAAGCTCTGTGTGCATTGTGATCTCACATACTGGAATTTAAGTTTCCTAATTTTGCTGGAATTTGCAGTTATAAAATCAATGTGACTATAAAAGAGTGAACGATTATTACATCTGCATTGCATCTGTGTACTTAATGGTT